CAACTCTTGGGCTACTCTTTTACCAACGAATAGTGGGATTGACCGTCACATTATAACGCCCCCACGGCTGAAAGGGTGAGCATGTTTGGTGTGAGGGGGATTCGAACCCGCGACCCTCAGACTGCGAGTCAAGCGCCCTAATTACCTGGCCATGCCGGGCCTAATACTTTTTTTTTAGCAAACTACTCTTGCTAAAACTTAAGTTGAAGGAGACTAAAAAATGGTATATATATGATAGCCATTTTTTCCTTGTTGCTTAAATTAATTACTGAAGTTGAATTGCATATTTTCTCTCGGTAATACATGCTTATCTCATTTATTAGTAATGTAATTAGTCTCACGAAAATAATGCTGTTTATATTTTCTTTATTTACAATGGAGTTACAGAAATGGAAATTACATTTTAACTACGAGATCTTTACTATGATTGTGACGTCACACGTCCGGCAACTTTTGGTAGAGCTTCCGTATTATAAAGTTTAGTACTCAACCACTACTTTTAAATGTACATCATATAAAATATCAAAAACAAATACTCTGAACGTAATAAACTAAGTAAAAGGTGATTTTTCTCTCGGTTGACACAGTCACGCTTGTTGAAAATCCTAGTTTTAGCGTTATAAGCCCACATTTTATTTACCGTTTTTAGAGTTTAGAAGCAATAAACCACCACAAACTGTAATCAGCAACCTTGAGAACAAATTGTGTTAATTGTGGCATTGTTTCCCATTCCGAGATAATTAATATACGCTAAACCTTTGTTCTTTAACCAAGCTTGAAATATAGATTCACTGTAGTGTATAAAAAACGTCATACATGTAATCAGTTATAATGTATATAATAAAGTTATTTTACATATATTGCACATTTAAACTTGCTGAATATTCTTTCAAATGTTACATTTCCTTTTTGCTTATATACATTTTACTTTCATTTTAGATCTTTGTCAATTAAGAACCAGACAAACGATTACTTTTCATAGTTGAATAAGGGGGCGCTGAATGTTGTGCTCTTAATTGTTTGATTTTTGTAAAATGATGTTAAAAATATGCATGTAACTAACAGGAAATATAGTGATATTCACAATCGTCTTTATACAATGTGAATCTTTACGAATTTTTTGTTATCCATTAAATAAGGTTTGTGTGCTTACTATTGTGTTCTCGCTTTGATAATTCAATAATGTTGAGATTTTTTAAAGTTGTAGGTAGGAATTTTTTGAAAAAATTCTTAGATAGTGAAATTTTCAAATATTATTAAGATAATCCATACAAGTTTTAGAAACTTTTTAACGCAAATGCTGAATATAAATTGTACAAAAAAGTAAAGTTAACGTTTTTAGAAAATTTTAACACAGTAAAATCAGAAATGAAATTAATTTTGCCCCATACAGTTTTTGTTCAGCATTTTAATACCTAAAACTACACAACAGAAAATACCAATTTCAAACAATTGAAAATAATAACAATGTGAGTTATTACAATTAATACTTATTGTCAAAAATATATCTTAAATATATAATTAACATTTCTATACATACCTGGAGTTATTTTCATCCTACAGTTGAAGAAAAATGTATACATTAAAAAAGTTTGAATTTTTTTACATAAATAAATGTGACAAATATAAAGCATTTATTTCATAACATATAATAATTGATTATATTTTATGTTAGTAGATAAGTTTTAACATCAAAATATTATTGATACTCAGGGTGCAAACTGGTGGATATTACTTTATTCTGAAGTAGCCACGAATTCTGAAATTTAAAATTTCAGTTGATTGAAGCTCGTCATCTGATTAGACTCTTCAGTGTCATCACCACTATCACAGTCGTACATGGAGATCAACTAGCACCACTTTTAATGATGTTCGACATTAATTTTGCACCATAGTTTACAGTTATCTTAAAATTAAGAACTATTTTGACAAAAAAAATACCACTTTCAATCACTATGAAAATGTTTACAATTTGAGTTTAGTAAATATTAAAATTAATATTAATATTTATTGTCAAAAATATATCTTAAATATATATAATTAACATTTCTATACATACAATAGTCATTTCTCTCTAGCTTAAACCAAATGTATACATACCAACGAGGTTAGAAATTTTTTTACATAAATAAATTTGATAAATATAAAGCATATATTTCATAACACATAATAACTGTTTCTATTCTGAGCCATTATTTAATTCTTATTATATACTGTTATTAAATCAGTTATTTTTAGCATTCTAAGGCTATTGATCAGAAGAACAGAAACTAGCCACAAATACTAAATTATAAAATTTCAGTTGATTGAAACTCTTCTTCTGGTTAGAGGCTCTACATTGTTATCATCAATGTTGCAATCAGTCATACATGAGGATCCACTAGCACCATTTCTAGTGATGTACTCTTCTACATTATTACAGTTGATTAAAGTTTGGCTTCCAATCAAAGGTTCTGTGTCACTATCATCCTGATTTCTCATACAAGGAGGTCCTTTAGCACCATTCCTACTGATGTACTCTTCAGCATTTTTACAACCAATCTCTTTATCAGCACGGTTTGATCTAGCAATACCTTAAAAAACATTACACACTTGATTATACTACAAATTCCTATTTTGACTTAGCCAAATGTAATTCTATGTAATAGCATGGACCCAAAATGGGGGTTTGTATAGTTTGAAAAAATAATGTCTAGAGTATCTTCAGTCTTATTTCTTAACTTTTTTTAAGATCCCTATTTGCAGGTTTTTAAATTCCCAGTTTATAATTTATCTTGTTTTCTGGCTTTTTTTATACTCAACTATTGGTAAAGGATTACTTGATATGGTAACTAACTTTATACATTCCAATGATAATAAACATAACTAGTAACTAGCTGATATGGTTCATGATGATTTACTGTAGCTATTGACTATTTGATCGCATTAATTCAAGATGTAAAATGTTAAGTTCCAGCTGAAAGTTTGGTTAAGAATATAGTGAGCATTTATAGTTTCTGTAACTAAATTCTCTATATGTAATGCATAGCAATGGGCAAGACTAAGACACAACCCACACTAAATGTATATAAAATTTTACAAGTAGAATAGCAGCCTTTTCAAATAAAACATCTACATCTAAAACATTGCTAATAAATTAGCCTTCATGTCTTCTAAAGTAATTATTCTATGAATGTGTGTAATAAAATTTAACATTATGTGTATTGATTTTTCTTTTACTCCTTTACTTCATACATAATATAGGGATTGGCTCCATAAACACACCGATTGTATAGTGTACAAAGCATTGAGTATCTATATGTTACAGTCCTCTGATGTTCATCTATTACTGGCTGGTAAATCCTGTTTCATCCTCTACTTAAGCTTTTTAAAGAAACACCAGGTATTTGTAAGAATGCTATCAAGGGGGTAATGATAACATCATCTACACTAGAATTATGATGTTTTATTAGCTTATGTAAAATATAGAAGAAACAAATTGACTTTTTAATACCACTATGACCTTTGCAGTACCTTATTTAGTACTGTACAAAAGGTTTCGGTACACTATACCAAGCTGTTATTGTTGTAGGCTGGCAAAAGAACAATAATAATTACAAATGGGTCGCTCCGAGTAGATTTTCTTTTCCTTGCATGTCTAACATGCCTGTTTTGTTTGTGCATTTTTATATGTGTACAGCCTTAGTAGTCAATAGTAAAGATTTTAAATTGTTGTTTGAACTGAATCTTTACTGTTTAAGGTGCTTTTTGTCCAAACATTACACAACTGATATGAAATATAGCACTTATCATAAACCCCTTTATATAACGTGAATCTTTATGCAATTGTTTTTATCAATTGAACCAATGCAATATCTATTACATGATACATTTAAAATTTTTTGTCATTTCTCATAAATACACAAGATTATGAAAACTATAATAAGGTTAGAAAGACTAAAGTTAATTTCAAGAGCTTATTAGTTTTAGAATAAAGTAAAAATCTTATTTTTAAATCACTGACAAATATCTAACCAATAAATTCCTGATAACAGTAAATCAGTTTAAGACACAAGGTTAACTTCTTTGTTAAACATAAAGCTACAAAATGGGCTCTGTGCACTGCAGGTATCAACCCCCTCCCCCATTTTTAGTGTTATAAGTCCCGAGACATACTGTTGAGCCACTAGTAGGCCTAACTTATATAAAAATTCATACCTCTTCTCTGTTTCACACCTATCGAAGAGCGTGATAACGTAGCAAGCATGACGAGGGTGAAAACAGCTGATCCACCACAAGCGAATACCATGACATATTGATAATACCACTGGCAGCCTTCACAGCACCATCTAACAGAAAGGAAGATAATTATTAAAAGATGTTTTATGTCATTTTAAGCTACATAAGATACCTCTTCTTTTGCCATCTCAAAATCTTACTATCATATCAAATTAATATTGTATTTACACAGATTAATTCCCTGACTAGATCTAAGCTTATACAAAGTTGTATTTTAAATCTAAACTTACGTAAACCTGGACACTTCTTAGAAATACACTTACTCAGTCTTGTTCTTCCTCTAAAAATATGCTTAGTCCAAATTGTTCTCTCTCTAGGACTAAACACACAAACTTTTACTTAATTTCTTTTTAGATACACTTGTACAAATTAGTATTTTCTCTAGAACTACAGTTACACAAACTCTAACCCTTTCTTTTTCCAAAAGTATTATAATTATACAAACAAGTACATTCTCTCAAACTACCCTTAAACTTAATTTTTTTAGGGGCACTATGTTACTTTATTAAAAGTAAAAAAAAATTGCATTTTTTTGGTAGAGTGTAAGATAAAATATTTACTAGATATTTAGGGTTAACTTTATAGGTTATACAATATACAGCTTTATGTTTACTCCTAATTCGATATTTAGAAAAGAACTTACACACACGGATGGACGTCCTGTATAATAATTACAGCCAACCCATTGGAAAGTTTGTCTAAGAAACTCATTGCACCAAAAACAAAAGCACCACTAGACTTTAAGTAAAAAAAACAACAAAATTAGTTTTCTGTATCAGAAACCTACAAATCATGATGGCTAAGTCTAGATGAAACAAACATTAATTTCCTGATGAATTAGTTGGTTACGTTACTGTATCAGAAACCTATAAACCATGATGGATAAGTCTAGATGAAAGAAACATTAATTTCC